GTACTACTTGGGTATGTCTTATGAAAGACAAAAGTGAGGTATTTTGTGTGTTTTGTAATTTCCATAAAATGATATGTATTCAATTTGGGGCGATTGTCAAAATATTGCGTTCTGATAATGGGGGTGAGTATATTGATTCTGGTTTAGCAAGCTATTTTTCCACCCATGGCATTATTCATCAGACTTCTTGCATAACACTGCTCAACAAAATGAGGTTGCAGAACGCAAGAGCCATCATCTTCTTGATATAGCTCGTTGCCTGTTTTTTTCTATGCATGTGCCTTGGTCTTATTGGGGGGACGCAGTTCTCACTGCTGCCTACCTCATCAACCGTCTCCCAACCCAAGCGTTGCACAAAAAATCTCCTCTCCAGGTTTTCTCAAGTTCTGAGTTTGTGTTCTCTATTCCTCCTAAAGTCTTTGGGTGTATCTGTTTTGTCCATAATCATGCTTCTTCTCGTGGTAAATTTGATCCTAACTTTATGAAGTGTGTCCTTTTGGGTTACTCTCTTACTCAAAAGGCTTATAAGTGTTATCATCTTCCATCTCGTAAGTGGTTTGTCTCCATGGATGTAACATTCTTTGAGTCACAGTCTCATTTCTTGTCCCAGTCCTCTTTTCAGGGGGAGCCTTGGTGTGAAGGGATTCTTGAGTCTGTATTAGTTCCTGGCTCATCACTAGTGGTGGAGAACACAGAAGGTAAACTAACTACTTGTGGTGAAAATACCGAATGTCTATGTCAAGGACAAAGACAGATAGAAAGTTATTTGTATACAAAAGACCACTTTTGATCATCCACTGCTATCTTCTTCTTCTGATGAGATTCTAGGTAACTCTGAAACCCTTATTCCTCCTGAGTATACTGATCTTGATATTCCTATTGCCTAACGAAAGGGTGTGAGGTCTTGTACTAAGCATCCCATTTCTAATTTTGTGTCCTGCTCTAGTTTGTCTCCTTCTCATAGAGCTTTTGTGTCCAAAGTTTCTTCTCTTAGTATACCTAATCATTTTCAGGATGCTCTTGCTACCCTTGAGTGGAAACATGCCATGATAGAAAAAATGAAAACACTTCGTAAGAATGGCACTTAGGAATTAACTGAGTTACCTAAGGACAAAAGACCTGTGGGATGCAAATGGGTGTATTCTGTGAAACATAAAGCAGATGGTTCAATTGAGTGTTACAAGGCTAGACTGGTGGCAAAGGGCTTTATTCAGACTTATGGAGTAGACTATCAAGAGATCTTTGCACTAGTGGCTAAGATGAATTTAGTCATAGTACTTCTTTCTCTTGCAGCTAATCTGGATTGGTCACTTCATCAGTTTGATATAAAAAATGATTTCTTACACGGTGATCTAGAAGAAGAGGTGTATATGGACATCTCTCTTGGCTTTGAGGACCATCAAACAAGGTTAAAGTATGTAGGCTTTTGAAGTCATTATATGGTGTCAAATAGTCTCCAAGGGTTTGGTTTGAGATATTCACTCAGGTTATGCTCCGATATGGCTTCAAACAGAGTCAGACTGATCACACTTTGTTTGTGAAGTATTCCTTACATGGTAAGACTACAGCGCTTATTGTTTATGAGGATAACATGGTGCTTACTGGAGATGATAGTGAGGAAATACCCCGGTTGAAGAAATATTTAACAAACGAGTTTGAAATCAGTGTTATTAAAGGTGTGCCTAAGCCTAAGTCCCATCTAGGCCCAAGGTTTGCGCCTTGTAGTGTTCCAAGCTAGGCGACTTCGATAAGGCACGTCTAGGCGTGCGTCTAGGTCCAAGTCCCATCCAGGCCCAAGGTTTGCGCCTTGTAGTGTTCCAGGCCAGGTGACTTCAATAGTACCTAACTGGCCCAAGGCTTGCGTGTTGAGGGCTTTTTTTATTTTTTTTTATTGTTGCTTTAATTGGTTTTGTTTAAAATCTGACCATTAGGAAGGCGAGGAGATCGACGAGGTGAGGACGACGAGCTGAGGAGATCGACTGAGGAAGACGAGCTGAGAAGATCGACTGAGGAAGACGGCTGAGGAAGACGGCTGAGTGATGATCCACCCAGGTAAGCTTCGAACCCTAGAGTGTCGTTGGTGAAAAGGTCTACCAACGAGGGTGAGCCTAAACCCTATAGGTTCTGCTCTGATACCATGAAGCTTTAAGTAACCAGCTTAGGGTATGATGAGATATCACCCCTTATTTATACATGAAGATTAGGGTTTACAAGGCATAAAAATGATTACAGACCCTAGTGACTTTCGGCTAATATAATATGCTAAGTGACTTTCGGCGAATATAATATGCCAACACCTATCGCCTTTAATAACACTGTTTGAAATAAAAGACCTGGGAAATCTGAAATATTTCCTAGGTATTGAGGTTGTCCGGTTCCAGGATGGAATTTTCATCTGTCAGAGAAAATATGTTCTTGGCCTATTGAAAGAAACCGGGATGCTTGGGAGTAAAGCTTGTGATACACTACTAGAGCCAAACCAGAAGCTTAGTGATGATAGTAGGGGAGCTATTGTTGGCAGGGGGAGTTATCAGGGAGTAATGGGTAAGCTCATTTACTTATCCCATTCTTGTCCTGACATTGCCATGGCAGTTAGTGTGGTTAGCCAGTTCATGCATGCACCTCACGAGACACACTTGGCTGCAGTAATGTGCATCCTTAAGTACTTGAAATACTCTTTTCCAGAAAAGAGTATTTTTTTAAACATGATCATCTTCGGGTGGAAACTTATACAGATGCAGATTGGGCATGATTAGTACTAATGGAAGGTCTACATCTGGTTATTGTACCTTTGTTGGAGGTAATTTGGTTACTTGGAGGAGCAAGAAACAAAATGCAGTCGCCCGGTCTAGTGCAAAGGCCGAGTTTAGAGCCATGGCACAAGGTGTATGTGAACTCTTATGGGTCAAGTTGCTGCTAAGTGATCTGGGGATTAGTCATATTGATTCCATGCGACTTTACTGTGGTAATAAGGCTGCTATTAACATAGCTCACAATCTAGTTCAGCATGACCGAACGAAACACGTGGAGATTAATCGCCACTTCATTAAGGAGAAACTCACCAGTGGCACTATATGTACTCCTTTTGTGAAGTCAGCTGAACAACTGGCAAACATTCTCACCAAGAGAATTGGAAGCAAACCATTCTATGTGCATGGCAAGTTAGGCATGAGAGACATCTTCGTACCAGCTTGAGGGGGAGTGTTACAATAATATCTTTGATTATTGTGTATTGATTATTCTATTAGCTGTTATTTCCTTATCCTGTTATTTTCTTATTTGTGCCTCCAAGGCTTCCATTGTAAGTTACTTATTATCAATATAAAAGGGGATAATTGTCTAATCATTCCCTAAGTTTTTCTCTCTCAAACAAACAATAGCAACTGTTGGTTTACTGGTGAATTGCCAGTTATGGTGGTCTTCACTCTTTAGAAGCCATGATAAGCAATGATTGAATGTGTGTTTCATACTCTTGGAAATTTTGTGGTCTAAGCAATTTGTATTGGAACCCACATATGAGTCTAATACCATACTGACACTTAACAATTGTCCACTAGGGAATCTTTGAGACTCATGGACGCTTTGATCTCATTGTTTTACCACTGGATTAAAGGTGGGGAGTTTCAGATCCTTGTAGGCATTTGTGGAGACTTAACTTTTTCTTCAATTTTCCTGTTTAATTTTTGTCCAAATGTCTAGTGAAGTATTTTCCATGTGACAGTTAGCTTGTACTAATAATTTATTTTAATTTGTTGTAGAGGTGTTGAAAGGGGATTTAAGGGCAACTCTTATCCTAGGCTTGTGAAGATGGTTCTATCTGCCACGCTAACCCAAGATCCATGCAAGCTTGCCCAGCTTAATCTGCATCACCCTTTGTCGTTGACAACTGGGCAAAGACGTTATCAGCTCCCTGAACAACTAGAATCTTTCAAATTGGTATGATCTCATAACTATACTAGTAAATATGTAATACTTTGTATAAATGCTTTTGGTCATTTTCAAATCTCGTGGGTTGTACTACTTTTTACTGCATTTGCATTTTGGCTGTGTGATTCAAATTAATGAGATGAGTTGAGCTAAGTGGTGGGTAGCTCAAGTTTGGCTCAATGAAATTGAAACTTAAGCTGGAGCTCAGCTCATTTATTTTATGAGCAATCTCAGCAGACCTTCTAGTTAATCCAACCTTGGCCCGAGCTCGATAGGCTTGGGATACCTGATAAGCTTATTGAGCTGAATAGATTAACAAGTTAATGATGGTTCTTGGCTTGTTTATCTCATGAGAAATCATGGGCTAACCTCTGATTGAGCAAATCATGGCCATACTTAAGTAGATAGATTTGTCTTGCAGCGCTTATTGGGTGTGTAAAAAAGACCTGCAATGGCAGAGATGGGAACTTTACAAAGAGCAACTTCTGTTGAAGTTTGAGAATAAATTAGAGTCTCGACACCTAATGCATTAAAAGAAAACAAACTTATTATTCATTATTCAGGCACCAGGTACAAAAAACTATTTCTTTTAATGCATTGGGAGTCAAGATTCTAATTATTCAGGCACCGTGTATGAAAAGCTTGCAATTTAGAAAGTGATGCTGCTAAAACTTATCATTTTCCTTGCATGCTGATCTTTTAAAAATGGAGTCATAATTCTATTCATGACCCAAGGTTTTAAATCTAAATGTCTATTTCAGTTGTTGGTTATGTTTAAAATAGAAGCAAAATCTGTATTCCTGAACATTATTTGTTGAAATGGTTGTGAAAAACTGAAACCAAGGCATTGGTATGGCTTGAGATTCAAAGATGTTCAAGTTCTTGAGTCTGTCCAAATGTACATCCTTAATTGGGTGATCTGCTTCCTTTGTTCTGATTAAATTTAGTATGACTTGTCCACCTTTAATCTCATTTTTGGCATGAATTTTTATGCTTACAAAAATCAAATGGCACATCAAATTTATTTAAACAGATGGGTATTTTGTTGTTATGCCTCTTCTTATTGTTTTTATTTTTTATTTTTGGTTTTCATTTAGGTTATCCTCTTTTCTTTTCTTTTTTGGGTAGGATTTGGCCTAAGCTCAATAACTCACAACCTAAGTTTCATGCTTCTTATATTGCTATAGTTTTATGATTTGATAATCATTGAAGAGACTATTGTGCTAAGAGTAATTTTTATATAGTTTTAACATACAACATTTTGTATAAGATTGAATGGAGATTGGTTAGCTAGGAACTATGAAGCACCACCACTTCAAAATAGGTGCCGTAGCCATGTTTGAGACACGAACACGGCTGGAATAATGATGGGAGAAAACATTTTCTATAAGACTTAATGGAGATTGGTTAGCGAAGAACTATGAAGCACCGACACTTCAAAATAAGTGTTGTAGTTGTGTCAGAAGCATTTTTTTAATAATATTTTTTGGGGGACACGTTGGGTCATACTTTGAGACACAACGGGGTCATTTTAATTTTTCAAACCTAATTTTGAGGGTTATATTATAATATTTGGAAACAGCAGAGTTGAATTTAATAAAAAAAAATATAAAACTCATATCGAACCATTGACAATGCAACATAGATCTAAATACAATTGTGAATTTGAGAGAAAGGCTTCTAATAATTTCTGGAACGTGTAATGCAATGCAACACAAATCTAGTATTTGGCTTATTTAAATCTAGTTTGTTTGTGTGTTTCTTTTAATGCCAGTTTTATTAATTTTGGCTATTTGTGGATGTATTACTAATATAAATAGCAAATAAAATATATAATTTTTTTTTGACGTATCCTATCGTGTTCATGTCTTAATTGTTTTTGAAATCGGCATGTCTCATGTTTGTGTCTATATCTGTATCCGTGCTTCCTAAGTTAAGAATCATCGACATGGACATGTTCACATGTAAATTTTCAAAAAATGCAAGACACGACACATAAAAGACATGCAAAAAAAAAAAGAAAAAAAGAAGTGTATGTTATATATATGATTATTTAATGTAATGTAACATAACACTAACTAAAATTGAAATAACAACATATTCCTTAACATAATAATCACAATTACAATTACGCTAGACCATCCTATAATATAACAAATTTATAGCTACAATCACAATAGTGTATCTTATTACATAAATTAGGTGTGTTCACCAAAACGTGAAACCCGGCCTATCTGACTAGACTGCCCGACCCGATGAGCAGCGGTCGGTTGCAATTTGTTAAAATATAATTTTTTGGGTATTGGTTCAATTAACGGGTTTAGATATTTGGGACCCGTTGAAACCGAACCGACTGAATATATATTGTAAAAATGTTACCTTGCCTCCTATCAAGTTTTTATTGGTCTTGGGGATTGCACATTATCTGCGTGGCACGTGTGTTATGATATCTGGAAAACTCTCAAACATGTTTCTCTTTTATCTAAACGTCAATCTCAAAACTCTCAACTACTTTATCTTTTTTTTAGGCATTGTATCTATCCTTCTCTCATTCTCTCTCTTTCCGTCAACAAATTTCTCTTTTTTCCATGTATCTCTCTTTGTTATTCCCTCGTTCTCTCTATTCTCTCTCACTTACTGTTAACCACGATGGTGCTTGGCTTGTTTATCTCATGAGAAATCATGGGCTAACCTCTGATTGAGCAAATCATGGCCATACTTAAGTTTCAATTGTAACCCTAAACTCCAAAAACCTTACTGTCTTATGATATGAATATCCAAAGGGAAAGCCCTATTCCTTTTCATGGTCGATGACCTTCAAGCTTCATCAATGATGGATTTATGAATTTTTAAAGTTGATGGTGACTTCGTGAATGTGTAGGAGTAGTATCGATAGAAGATAAGTTGAGAAAGAATAGATTGAGATGCTTTGGTCATATACAACGGAGACCAGCAGAGGTAGTAGTGAAGAGATGCGATACAGTGACGGTAGATGGTAGTGTTAGAGGAAGGGGTAGACCTAGATTAATGTGAACTAATGTAGTAAATAGAGATATGAATCTTCTTAATTTGACTAGAGAAATGACCTTGGATAGAGTCGAGTGGAGAAGGAGTCCTGCAGCCGATCCCATTTGATGGGACTTAAGGCTTGGTTTGGTTTATGGTGATTTCGTTGGGAATACGCATCAAATGATTGATCTTGAAGCTTCAAGAACGATGATGGTAAAATTGCAGATGGTTGAATGCGGTAGTGATGTCAATTGATTTAGATCTATTGATCCTCAAGTTTAGTTTTTATTTTAATTTAAGTTTTTTTTTTTTTTAGTTTAGTTAATTTTTTTTGGTATACCAGAATCATGTTTATATGGAAGTGTTTTTTGTTCTTCTTTTGGTCATTGAATCTGTTGAATCTTGTGAATCTAAAATTGCTTTTCCAATTGTTTTGATATTTGGCTTTTGTAATTTCGAAACCGTTCGAATCCGACCACCAAACCAAAGGAGATGGATGGACAGTTTCGAATTAACATGCGGTTGGACATGATTGAACATGTTTCCAAACCAAACAATTTCGATCAAGTAGCGGGTTTGAGTCAAACCACACTTGACTCGACCTGTGAACACCCCTAACATAAATGTAAGGGTTAATTACCCTTTTAGTCCCAAAGTATCAAGTTTTCATTCTTTTGTACGTGTTAAAAAGTTGAACCTCACTCTAACTATCCATACCTCATCCTATGATGCAAGTTGATGATTACATCACAATGGAGGAAAGAAGTAGGAGTAGTTTTCCATTCTTGTAATGGTTAATCTTTCTTAAACCAAACCAAGTCTTAAGTCCCATCAAATGGGGTCGGCTATATGAATCATTCTTCTCCACGCGGTCCTATCAAAGGCATTTCGTTAGTTAAATTAAGTAGATCCATATCTCTATTTACAACGTTAACCAACGTTAATCTAGGCCTACCCCGTCCCCTAGCACTTCCATCTACCGTTATAGCATCGCATCTCTTCACTATTACCTTTGTTGGTTTCTATTGAATATGACCAAATCATCTCAATCGATTCTCTCTCAACTTATCTTCTATCGGTGCTAGTCCTATCCATTCCCAAATACACTCATTCATAATTTTGTCTTGTCTAGTCTAGTCTTGCCACACATCCACCTTAACATTCTCATCTCAGCTACGCTCATTTTATCTACATGTTGTTTCTTGGTTGCCCAACACTCCGTTCCATACAACATCGCTGGTTTAATAGCCGTTATATAGAACTTACCTTTAAGTCTAGTGGGTATTCGTTTATTGCACAGTATCCCAGACACACTTCTCCATTTACGCCATCCCGCCTTAATTCTATGGGCCACATCTACATCAATCTCCCATGCTGTTGTGATAATCGACCCTAATTAGCGAAAATGTTCACTCTTACACAGTTCTTGGTTCTCAATCCTCACTTCTCCTCTGCTTTCATTGTTACTGTTACTATTTACACTCCATGTACTCTCTCTTAGTTCTGCTTATCCAGAATCCAACTTTGTATTAACTTTTTCTCTAGTCTCATCCACTAGCACTATATTGTCTGCAAAAAGCATATACCATGGCACGTCATCTTGGATATTTCTCGTCAACTCATCTATAACTAAAGTAAAAAGATAAGGATTTAAGGTAGATCCTTGGTGTAACCCTACAGTGATAGGAAATTCATTTGTCTCTTTAGCAGGCGATCTAATAGTGGTCACAATCCCTTCATACACGTTCCCAATCACATCGATGTAACCTTTTGCCACCCCTTTCTTCGCTAACACCCACCATATTATATCCTGGTGCATCATATGTTTTCTCAAGGTCGATAAATACCATATGAATGTCTTTTTTTCTTTTCTCCATACTTTTCTATCACTCTAACCAAAAGATAGATCGATTGCATTATTGACTTGCCAAACATAAACTCAAATTGATTTTCTGACACCTCTGTTATATCTCGTAATTGGCGTTCTATCATCCTCTCTT